TCTGGCAGCTTACCTAGTGTTTGCTGGAATCAGCAATACTGGAACTCTAGGGGTAGGATTGGGTAGTGTGGTTCCTGGAGATTTCTTGCTCACCTGGCCCTTTCCTTCCTTTCACTTTCTCCAGCTCCTTTCAGATGGATGTTATAGTATATGTATCTGCCTTGGGCCCCTTAGAGCACTGCTTCCCTTAGTTTTGCTGAGGCACTGGGAGAGCCGGTTGCTTTAGAATGCCGAGGCACCTGGTGGTTTTCCAAGCTGATTTCTACTAATTCCTCCACCCTCACTGAGGCACTGGGGTTCCAGGTGTTGGTGTTTGCCTGCTCTACTACCTGGGTTTCAGGATCTCCTCCTGGTATTCTAAGGCAGTGCTTTCCGCTAGCTTGCTGGGATGCCTCCTGTTCTGTACTGCTCCCTTTCCCCCAGGGCAGGAGGGGCCTTTCCTGATAATCCTTCAAGCTACCTGGGCTACCGGACTTCTGTACCCCATCTTTCTTCTGGTTCAGCTGTTCCAGGGTTTTTCCTGGGGCAATATTTTCTGGGCTTTCAGAGGTTAATATGGGAGGGTAATAGCAACTTACTTCTTACTCTGCCATCTTGGCTTCTGGAAACGGAAATCCCTATTTGTCAGTTTTTATAAAGGTACCATGCACAGCTTAGAAATAAGTATACTCATTTCTGTTCCCATTTAGCATTATCTAGCAGTCTTATCTCATTTGTCTTTCCTAAAATTGTATTTATCTCCTTAAATTCTTTCTTGCTTATTTTTGTGGTTAGAGTTGTCTAGATCTGAGAGGGGTAAACTGAGGTCTATACTTTTACTTTTCTCCTGTAACTCATTTAATTTTTCCTTTTAAGAATTTATATGCTATATCATTTGGTACTACATATATGTACAATATTGATATTTTATTTTCTTTGGTACCTTTTAGCAAAATGTAGTTTCTCTTTTAATTTTTTTCCCATATTCATTTACTTTCATATATTTTATTAAGTATGTAAGTACTGCTTTAGAATATCTCAGGATGCTAAGGGTAGCAGTATTTCCTACTTAATCTTGTGCTCCCAATATTGATCTTTGTGCCTGTTAGCTTTTTAGCGCAGCCGTAATATGCTACTATTTCATTTTTCGCACTTTACTCTTTTTAAAAAAAAATTTTTTTTAATTAATTTTTTTATTTTTAGTTTTCAGCATTCACTTCCATAAACTTTTGCATTTTAAATTTTCTCCCCCTGCCTTACTGCCTCCCTCCCCATGATGGCATGCAGTCTGATATAGGCTCTATATACACATTCATATTAAACATATTTTCACATTAGTCATGTTGTAAAGAAGAATTAAAACCAATGGGAGGAACCACGAGAAAGAAGAAACAAAACAACAAAAAGAGAGCAAATAGTATGCTTTAATCTGCATTTAGCTTCCACAGTTCTTCCTCTGGACGTGGACAGCATTTTCTATCATGAGTCTTTTGAAGTTGTCTTAGATCCTTGCATTGCTGAGACGAGCCAAGTTTCTGAAAGTTAGTCATCGCATAATGTGGCTGTTACTGTGTACAGTATTCTAGTTCTGCTCACTTCACTCAGCATCAATTCATGTAAGTCTTTCCAGGTTTTTCTGAAATACCTCCCATATGTTATTTCAGGCCACTTCTGGGAGCACTTCTGGGGGAATTCTAGTCTAAGCTTCTGTTCTTTTATTTTTTATTTTATTTATTTCGTTATTTATTTATTGGGTAGGCAATGGGGTTAAGTGACTTGCCCAGGGTCACACAGCTAGTAAGTGTTATGTGTCTGAGGCTGGATTTGAACTCAGGTCCTTCTGAATCCAGGGCCGGTGCTCTATCCACTGTGCCACCTAGCTGCCCTTTCTGTTCTAGGACTCCTGCCCTTATTATTCTGTTGCTTCTGTGTTGGCCTAAAGGCTAGAACTGAGTCATTTATAGCTACATTTCCAGAACTTGTTTCTTACTCATTACTTAGCTGCAGCTCCTCTTGCTTGTGACCACTCCTCTACCCCCTGGATCTGTGACCCAGAAGTGGATAATAGGTGACATCTGCTAGATGGCACCCATTCCTGCACCCCATACTCATTCAGGAATCCAGTGCAATATTAGTCTGCTTTGGTGCTTTTTTTGTATTAGTGCTCTATCTTAGTCCCTGTTTGCTACAATCCTTTATGTACCTACTGCCCACTTTCTCCTGCCCGGCCCCCACCCCAGTGTCAACAGGCCTCTCTATCTCCCTAAGCTGCCCTTAGCTGAAGTGACTAATTGTGATTTCTTCTTGGCTTTTTTCAGTCAGAATTCAGTTTTAAACCTTTTCAGGTGATAGGCTGGGTGAACTGGGCAAAACCACTTCTTACTTTTTCTTCTTGCCACTGCTACTCTGTTCCTCCATTGGAGGAGGACTACATCATTAACACCATATCATGCCTTTCTTTTTTACCTTTTGGAATATTATATTCTAAGATCTCTTCTCATTTATTGTAGAAATTGTCAGATCTTATGTAATCCTCATTAATGGTTATTTGGTACCTGAACTGCTTCTTTCTGGATGCTTATATTTTTTCTTTGACCTGGAATTTCTGGATTTTGGATGTGAGCTTTAATTTTGAGGTTTAATTATTGTTTTCAGGAGTCTGATGATTCTAAAATTATACCTCCTTGACTGATTTTCCACATTTATTGTTTTTGGTAGCAGATATCTTATATGCTCTTTTTTTTCTTCAGTTTTTTTTCCTGTTAATATTTCTTACTGTTTCGTGTAGTCATTGATTTCTTTTTAATCTCTTCCAGTTTTCAGAGAGGCCTTTACTCAGGGAAGATTTACTACTTTTTAATGCTAAGCTTTCCTTCCCATTCTTTTTTCTAGAGTATTTCATATTTTAACCAGGTATCTGGCCGAACACTGAGCCTTCTGAGAGGCTCTTAGCTTATTTGCCTGAGCAAGAGCTTTGACTTTTCTGGTACTTTCCTGTTGCCTTCAGGCTTTTTGCTAACTTGTTGTGCAGTTCTGTGGTGGAAGAAGTTTCTTACTGTAGTTCCTTATTGGATTTCTTTTTTTTTTTTTTAATCTGGTGCTATTGTTGCGGTCTGAGAGACTGAGACCCTTCAAAGACCGGAGTACAAGACAGGGTCATCTGGAATGAATTCACAGACACAAGCATTCTTTGAGTCAAGTTGGCAAAGATTTAATGTTACACTATACAGTGGGCAAGGATTCTTAAGGAACTGAGGATGGAGCTAGGGTTTATATGGAAAAGGGCATAGGAAAGGAATGCCAGGGATAGCAGCTAGGTAATCTAAAGGTCCAGGTGTCTTCGGGAGCTATGGATGGGAAAGTGTAGGGAGTATACCAGACTGGGAGGGAGTTGTCAGAGACATGGATCTTGGGAATCTGGTGGGAGGAAGAGTCCCTGGGCCAACCAGGGACAAAAATCCTTCAGCCAGGCACCCCTCTCTCTGCCCTGATTAGCAACAAGGGAAAGTTTTCTCACAGGACAGGAGCTTACTAAGGAATTGAGAGGCTTCTAGAGACATGATCTTAGGGGTGGGGCCTGAGCAACTCATCGCTCTCTCACCTAGCTTTGTGTAACTGCACCAGAAAGAGAGATAAAGTGTTTTACTGAGGCCCACCCATGAGTAATTGTTAGGTATAGTGTCCTTGGGCTGGAGGGAAATTGCCAGGGATAGTGTTTTTGAGGCCAGGGAGAAATTGGGGTCCAAGCACCCCATCACTATTTTTAGGTTTTTGCTGGAAGTAAGGGTTTTGCCCGAAGTAAGGGTTTTGGAATCTCCATTCAGGCAGCCATCTTATCCAGAAAACCTGTTCATATGTTCTGTTGTGCACTGTAGCTAAGATAAGAAGGAAAGTTTAATTTGGGAACATTGTTATATTATATCTACGATGCCCCAGATCTGTCAGGATATAAAACAAATATATAAGACTCTGAAAATGAATTGCTGCAAATGCATCATGCATGCATGCATTATTATACGTTATCAGTTGGGGAATGGCTGAACAAGTTGTCATATATGAATGTAATGGAATACTGTTGTTCCATAGGAAATGGTGAACAGGCGAATTTCAGAAAAACCTGGAAAGACTTATTTGAAGTGAGCAGAACTAGGAGAACATTGTACACAGTAACAGCAACATTGTACAATGACTGACTTTGTTAGACTTAGCTCTTCCCGGCAATGCAGTGATCTAAGACAATCTCAAAAAACTCATGATGGAAAATGCTATTCACATCCATAGAAAGAACTGTGGAGTCTGAATGCAGATCGAAGCATACTATTTACTCTCTTTTTTTTTTGTTTGTTTTCTGTCTCTTGTGATTTTTCCCTTTTGTTCTGATTCTTCTTTCGCAACATGACTGATGTGGAAATATGTTTAATATGATCATACATGTATAGCCTATATCAGATTGCATGCTGTCTTGGGGAGGGAGGGAGAAGTGGAAGGAAGGGGAAATTTTTGAACTCAAAATCTTATAAAAGCAAATGCTGAAAACAAAATAAATACATAAATAATTGAAAGACCCCAACAAAATAAAATAGATTAACCATTGAGAGAGAGAGAGAGAGAGAGAGAGAGAGAGAGAGATCAGCTAGTCCAGAGATTCTTAATTTTTTTTTTTAATCATGAACCCCTTTGCCAGTCTGGTATAGCCTATGGACAGCTCAGAACAATGTTTTTTAACTTTATAAAATAAAATACTTAAGATTACAAAGGAAAACAGTTACTGAAATAATATTACCAGATAATATAAATAATAATACCAGATATTTTTCCAAAATCCCCCACAAGTGTACAGAGCTCAGGTTAAAAACCTCTGATCTATCTAGTCCAACCCCTTTTTCTTATAGATGAGGAAACCAAGATGAGTGGGGAAAGAACTTAGCCAAGGTAATATGGGGGGCATCGCTCAGTGGCAGAGCTCATTTGATTTTTGAGAGAACCCTGGATTGTGATGCTTTGTGAATTTTCTGTCATAGGCTCAAACCGTCCAAGTTGCTGAAGTTGAGCCTCAAGCCCAGCCACAGCCTTCACCAGAACTCCTACTCCCCAATTCTCTGAAGCCAGAAGAAGGTCTTGAAGTATGGAAAAGTTGGGCCCAGACTAAGAATGCTGAACTAGAGAAGGATGCCCAGAACAGACTTGCACCCATTGGCCGTAAGTGTATTTGGGGCTGGATAGTTTCACTGCCAACTCACTTTTCACTCCTGGCATGTAAGAGGGCAGAGGTCTGGCGGGGTAGGGGCAGATGGGGGACGATGACGACAGCAAAAGCAAATCTTATAGATTCTTTTTCCTTCTCTTATCCCACATTAGTCCGTTTATATTACTTATTTCTTTGGGAGGGAAAATGTACACTTCCTAGATGATATAAGAAATCCATGGAATTGATCACAAGAGGCATTATAGGTAGTACAGAGTTTATAAACATTGAAACTTTATTCCTGTCCTGTTAACCACTTGTTTGGAGCCCTTGAGCTATTATTACATGCTTAACCATTTAATGCATTTTGTATTCTTTGGCAGATGCATCTCAAATGTATATATTGAAAGTTAGATTGAACAGCAGATCAGTCCAATTTGTGGCAAATGGTCAAGACCTGGGAGATTATTCCAAGTGAGGGAGTTAACCTTGTATGGGTGAGCCTGCAGGATAGGGAGGGAAATTCTTGGCTCATGTTGGCCATTTCTACACAACAGGGCCCAAATGGTATTTAACAGCAGGCAGCATAGTGTAGTGGAAAGAGGATTGGACTTGGAGTCTTAAAGCTCTGCCAGTTAGTAGCTATGTGATCACTGGGCATGTCACTTAACTCCTCTGAGCTGTAGTTACCACGTCTCCAAAGTGGGGATAATCATATCTATAGTGTTCTCCTGCAGGGTAGCTGTAAAGCTTAAATGAAATACTGTTTTAGAAAGTGCTTTGTGCACTTTAAAGCACCATGTTGTTGTTAGCTATTATTATTCCTCTGCCATATAATGCCCATATATGCTCCTGTGAACTTTCTTAAGTTGTCTGTCTCTATGATTTCATCTCTTAGGTTTGTATGGAAAAACCGTCTGTATGATTGGGCATTTGGGGCTTACTTGCAAGTATTTTGCCAGTCTTTGGTAGGGGGAATAAGAGGAAGGAAAGAAGGATTTGTTGGCACCTACTATGTGTCAGGCACTATGCTTAAGATTTTACAAATATTATCTCATTTAATCCATACTTTATAAATATTATCTCATTTAATTTTCATGAGAGGTCAGTGCTATTATTATCCCCATTTTACAGTTTGGGAAACGTAGGTAGACAGAGGTTAAGTGACTTACCCAGTCACACAGCTAGTCAAGTGTCTAAGGCTGGATTTTAGCTCAGGTCTTCCTGATTCCTATATCCACTGTGCTACCTACCTGCCTCTGATAGGAATGGTAATTCTCTTCTACAGCTGTAATAAGTTCCTAGTAATGGAGTGGAATTGAACAGGAAGAGGAAACACCGTGGTCATAGCTAGTTACAGTGAATTTGCTGGAAGCCTTAAATTTGTATGTCCTGACTGTGGCTCGGTGATCGGGGTTTTTAATGGCACAGGCACAGCTGGTCCACTTGCTAATCTTTGTAACTTCCTTTTCAGGTCGCCAGTTACTGAGGTTCCAGGAAGATCTTATCTCCTCAGCTGTGGCAGAGTTGAATTATGGTCTGTGCTTAATGACACGGGAGGCTCGAAATGGAGAAGGTGAACCATATGATCCAGATGTGCTGTACTATATCTTCCTGTGTATTCAGAAGGTAGGAGTCAGAAATCTTCCCAGAGTCGTGTTTTTATCTCTTCATTCCAGCTAGGATTTGCATGAAGGTAGAATAATAGGGGTGGTTGGGGTTTTTGGTTCAAACTGCATACTTTGATTTTTTTTCATTGAAAACAAAGTAATATAATGTCAGATATTTATTTCTCACTCATGACTCTTTTGATTTTTATTTAACACTTTATTTATTTAATTTTTTTATTTTTTAAGGCAGTTGGGGTTAAGTGACTTGCCCAGGGTCACACAGCTAGTGTCAGGTGTTTGGTCTGAGGCTGGATTTGAACTCAGGTCCTCCTGACTTCAGGGCCAGTGCTCTATCTACTGCACCACCTAGTGCCCCCTATTTAACACTTTATTTAATGGAAATTGATGAAATACTCTATAGATATCCTTTATGTTCATTTTAACCCAAAGTTTGTGCTACTTACCTGCCTTCTTCTTAACTAGCTAATGAAAAGGTATAACATTTTGCTTGATGGGCTCACTATCCTTTACGCTATAGAAATGTGTTTTGTCTCAGGTGCATTTATGACATTTTGTTATAAAGCATAGTGGGAGAACTAAATTTTAACCTTAAGTTTCAGAAAACAGATACAGATTTTAAGCACAACACAACTTATGGCATGCAGCTCAGTATAGTAAAAATAGTTCTGAATGAGGCAGGAAATCTGGGATCTACCTGTGTGGTCATGAGATAATTCATATAGATCATAAACTAGAGCCTGAAAGGATCTCAGGATTCAGCTAGTCCAAACTCTCATGTTTTTGTTTGTTTTAACAGGACATTGGTTTGATTTCATTGGTCTAGGGGACTTAGAGAATTGCCTGGGGGTACTGAGGGTAGATGCGTTGGCCAGCGTCATGCTGCCACTGTGTTTCAGAGGCCAGACTTGAATGTAGCTCTTTATCACTCTAAGGTAGGTACAGAGGAAGAAGCTGAGCTCTAGAGTTGGAATGTGACTTGCCCAAAGTCACTCAGGTAGCAAGCACCAGGTGAGATTTGAACCCAGGTCTTCTGCCAACATAGCCTATGCAACTCCATTGTTTCATGCTGCCTCCTGTAAGTCTCTTCAATCTTTCTGAGCTTTTACAGTGATGCCCTTTCTGTGAAATGGGCATGATAGTAACTACTGTATATGTACTTCGTGGGGGTGATTGTGAAAATCAAAAGAAATAATTGATAAAGAAGATAATGGCCCTGAAAGAATAGAATGGTGTTGCTATAGAAATATAGGATTTAAAATTGCGAAAAACCTTTGAAAAATTAAACAGTACAAGAAATTTTGAGAGGAGAAGGAATTGGCTAGGCTTAGAGAAGGGTTAAGTAAGCTGGGATATTGAAACCTAATTCCAAGGTGCCCCTTGTTTAGTCTGCTGTACAGTTTAGCTTATGTGTTTTATGGGCAAGGACTATCTTGCCTTCCTGAGAGGTTTTATCAAGCCTCTTGTCTTTTTTGGATGGAAAGATAAATTAAATTTTTATGAATATGTCCATTTAATGGGAAAATTCAGAGCAAGTGCAGAAAAGGGAGCAGAGAGTCTGCGTTAGAAGGACGCAGGATTGGACTGCCAACTCCTCAACTTCCTGCATATAGTAAACAGTGAAGTGGATGAGAAGATCACAAAAGAAAGAAGCCCCTTCTCGGAGGGCTCCCCCTTCTCCTAAGGACACATCCTATCTCAAGAAGCATGTGGGTACTTGAAATTCATGGGCAGGAAAGGGGATGGAAGTTGTGCACACAATATTGCTAAGGCAGAAATAACACCAGATGCTGCTGTCCATCAGCAGTGACTCCCACAGTAGGGAGAGTGTCCCCTCCCGTTCTCCACCCCCACCCCACCTCTGCCTCGGTGCAACCAGCAGCCTCCAGCAGTTATTGACCAAGAGATGTCCTTGGCCATGGAGGAAGCCTACAGTCTAGCATATTTCTCTTACTGTGTTTTTTGGGAGATAAACACACCTTCTTTGGAAAAAGCTAACCTAGAAGATTGCTGGTTTCTACTGTGACTCTGTTTCTTTTGTAGTATCTTTTTGAAAATGGCCGAGTAGATGACATATTTTCAGATCTCTATTATGTTCGATTCACGGAGTGGCTTCATGAAGTTCTGAAGGACGTTCAACCTCGAGTTACATCTCTTGGTGAGTTATCCTCCTGGCCAAAGTGACTTGTTTCCTGGCGCTATCTTGAGTTCCTGAAGAGAGAAAACAAACGTGGGTGTTTTAGGACCAAGATGATCTTTATCTGAATTATTGACAGTCTTTCCCTTTCCCTGTTGGGGTATTTTGCATTAACACTTCTATCACCCACGTAGGAAGAGTACTTGGAAGTTAGTAAAATCCTCCTCAGTTTTGTCCCATGAAAACTTGTGGGCAACACAAAATGTGTGGGGATGCCAGGATGAAACATAAACTTAAAAACATTTCAAATCTCAAGCTTTTTCATGTGGTTTATCATGTTTAAGAGAATTATGGAATATTTTAAGACAACAGTCATGGTGTGGTAATACTCAAATAAGATGAACATATGTCAAGTGCTTTGCCTGCTTTTTGCATATTACTTGTTTTTTATTCATTTTGGCATCACTGGTCTTGGGTTTGAAACATTGCTCTCCTACTTATGTAACCTTAGGCAAATGAGTTCCCCTGTATAGGTCATTATTTTCTTCATCTCATAAATGAGAGTGTTAAGAGTATCTGCTCTCTAAGGTTCCTTCCAGATGAGTCCTATTAAACTGGTAAGTTCTGTTTTAGTTTATGTGAAGGAATCAGCAAGCATGGTGATACGACTAAATGACAAAATTACTTAAGGAATGGATTGGGTAAAGGAAAGTGGCTGGCATGAGAGAGCCTATGGGAAGAAATGTACCCAGAAGTATCTTCAAGCACATCCTACCTTTCCTCAGGGACCTTCCAAATGCTGAAGCCCTTTTATTTCTGTTTGCCATCTCATTGTGTACTTTGTAGTCCTTTCTGGAAATGATGGAATTAATTCCATTCTCCTAGGCCCACTAAATGTACTCTTTTTTTCTGGAAATAGATTCAGAGAAAAGCCAGACTGTATAGAGAATATGTGTGTCTTCACCTACTGTAGTGAGTGTGCCCCATCTGCTGAGCTAGTTAGGTGAGAGTATACACCCAGCTCCTAGTTATGACACAAGCCTAAGTCAGTGTCTTGGCCCTGAGCCCTCAATTTATAGTTGATCACTATCCAGTGGGCATGCCAGGAATAGGCAGCTGGCCAGTAGTCTTCGCCCCTAGAAGGGTCTCTGGAGGCCAGCACATTGGGAGAAGAATACTTGGAAGTCTAAGGATTCTGTTATGTGAAAAAGGCATCTAAAATAAAATAGACTAGAACTACTGCCACAGAAAGATAGTCCCAGGTAGCTCTCACCACTTATGGAGCTTCCTTTCTACAAGCCCAGGGCAAGTACCTCTTTGTGCTCAGCACTATCACAAAAGGTAGTTCAGCTGATGGGTCATCTCTGCCTTGGCCTGGAAATGGGGGAGTTAGTAGTCCAAACTAGTGTGAACTAATCCCCTTTTTATCACTTAATATGTTTGTTATCTGATGCACCAAGGAGGTTTTTTAGGGCTGTAGATAGGAGACCTGAAGACAGCTTAAAGGGAATAGAAGGTCTTGAGCTAAAGTTGGGAGTGCTGTCATCACTCCATGATCTTTAATACTATGCATTCCATTTCTTCCACTTTGTTCTCTCCTGTTGACACACATTGTTCCGTGTGTCTCTTTGACACACCTCCCATATCCATGTTATGACAATACTCTCTTATTGTAGGTTATGTCCTGCCCAGCCGTGTGACAGAGGAGATGCTGTGGGAGTGTAAGCAACTAGGGGCTCACTCCCCCTCCACACTCCTCACTACGCTCATGTTTTTTAACACAAAGTAAGTGTTTCTGGAGATTGGGAGCCTATATATTGAGTAGTAATTGCACTTACAGAGACGCAGAAGAATGGTGTATTAATGCTTATTAGGCAAGGTTTTCTTTCTGCCTCACTGCCTGACACCCAAGAGAAAGATCCAAGATACTGATCAGCCTAGGTCAGGATGAGAGGAACCCAATTTGTTTCTGAAATTGTTTATTTTTTTTTTTAGAACCCAAGTTTCTCTGTGCCCCAGGGTGGTGAGCCAGAATCTGCCTATATAGCTATTTAGGTTTCCCAGCATCTTTTAAAATTTTTTTGTCTGACCTCAGAAACGTCTCTGAACTACTTGTGGTCAGTGGGTGAGTAAAGTCCTTCCTACATCCTTCTCATGGGTGTCTCTTCATTTAAATATCTCCTTACTTTATGATTTAGGTACTTTCTGTTGAAAACAGTAGACCAGCACATGAAACTGGCGTTTTCCAAAGTTTTACGACAGACAAAGAAGAACCCTTCAAATCCCAAGGATAAGAGCACAAGTATCCGGTATCTGAAGGCACTTGGCATACACCAGACTGGCCAGAAAGGTAGGAGGGTTTAGCCTTTTGGGTAGTAGCAGACCGTATCTCCTGTGGTGCTGTGACAGGACTTACTTTGGGATGACTAGGCAGAAAATAACCAACCTACTCTGGTTGTCCACTACCCCTCCACCCTCTACCCCCCATTTTGCTGATCTACTGCAGGTAGCAACTGAAAATTGGTCCTTGTCAAATCCTGTAATCCTTAAACCCACTTCTGCCCAGCCAGGTGAGAAGCTCTAACTTTATCCTTGCAAAAAGCAAGAGTTCCAGAGAAGGCAGTGTGAGCTCCATGTTTCTTCCTAAATGGTGAAAGGAGATGCCTTCTGGCTCACTGATCTGAGGTGTGGGTGTGCGTGGGATCTGGAGCTGTCTGTGTCTTTCTCTCGAGCTGTGTTTTAGCCATACCTGCAGAGGAGCAGTCTGACACAATATATGTGGTGGGGGTGGGTTCTGTAGTTACAGATGATATGTATGCCGAGCAGACTGAGAATCCAGAGAATCCACTGAGGTGTCCCATAAAACTCTATGATTTCTACCTCTTCAAATGGTGAGGCTTCTTTCTGTTTGTTGGGAGGGAAGAATTTGATCCCTGGGGAAAGGAATTCTCATGGCTGAGGTATTAAGGAAGTTTCAGATCCTTCCCAACACTGTAATGTTAAACATTAAATAACACAAAGATAAAACATTTCCATTTTTTAAGTAGATTTTTATTGATGACATTTTTTTTATACTGCTCAGATTTCTCCTCCATGTCCTTCCCCTTTCTGGAGAGCCATTCTTTAGGACAAAATATCTTAAAAAGAAAAAGAAGGGGCGGGGGGGGAATCCAAGCTGATGGATATATTAAAAAAAATCTGCCAGAGAACATGTTTTCTGATGCACTTTAGTAGTATATGAAGTACAGTATTTCTGCTTATTTCTGCCGTTGTGCCACTACTTTTTGCTCTCCTTTTTCCCAGAGAGTGAGGAATCCCATGGGGTATCTGGAGCTCTGCGCTCGTTGAAGGGAATCCAAGAGAAAAACAGTGCGGGGGAGTCACTTGTCAGGTTCAGGAGTGAAGGTCTGATTTAGCTTTAATATTTTTCCCTTTTCTTCAGTCCCCAGAGTGTGAAAGGCCGAAATGACACATTTTACCTAACACCCGAGCCAGTGGTGGCACCCAACAGCCCAATCTGGTATTCAGTCCAACCCATCAACAGAGAGCAAATGGAACAGATGCTTACCCGGATCCTGGTGATACGAGAAATTCAGGAAGCTATTGCTGTGGCAAATGCCAGTAACATGCACTGAGCATCTCCTTTCAACCAAGATGGGGAGAAATGAGGAAAAACTGTACAGACTTTCACACTAAAGAAGAGGCCTCAATTTTTTTTCCTGTTTTTTTCTTTTTTTCTTTTTTTATTGGTGTAGTTTATGAAGCCCTTTTAGGCTGCTTCTGTTGAAAAGAAAATATAAAAATAAAACCTACCCACCATGCATCGTCATAAACGGTGACAGACTGTTGTGCCTGCCGGAGCAATATATTTCTAAGAAAATTGGACACCCTGGAAAGTTGCTGGCTAACTTTTTTTTTTCTTTTTGTTGGGGCCTGGGGAACGGTCCTGGACTGCAGAGGAGAAACTATGACCCCTTCCTCACCTCCAGAGAGAACAGAAATTATGATGGATCTCCCTTCCTGCCCCAGGGAGCCTGCCATGCTTGCCTTCCCCAGGGTCCTTGGCTGGCCCTGACTGTCTCTGGTGTAGCCATGTTCTTTTTCTTTCTTTGTGCTCAGACATTAACTTGGCATCTTCATGGAAGAAAAATAAGGGGAGAGAACTTCAATTATGATTTATTAAAGACAATTTCTATTCAGCCCCGTTAAGACAAATGACATTTTAGATGTTAAAGTAAAAACTTTACCATGCTTTTTTTTTTTTTTTTTTTTTTTTTTTTTTTTGGGCCTAACATTGAGGCCTTAAAACTTGAGGCACATGTGCCTGATGGAATTCTTGTAACATACACTTGTGTATCATATAAAGATACAACACTGTTTCTCTTATGTATTCTTACTCTAGTTGTTTATTAAGAATGACAAGCACGTCTTTTCAACATGCTATTGAACAATGCGTCTTTATTTGGGAAGGGAGAGCAAAACATAGGGGACCGGGTTAGGGTTGTTTTAACTCCTCTTGGTTTGCCATTTAGTAGAGATAGAACTCCATTCCTCTCCAGTGGTTATTTCTGAAGGAAAGGTCATAGAATTTTGGACCTGAGATAACATCTATTCCTACCTGATTGTTTTATTGAGGCCTAAAGAGATTGAAGTTAACTTAACCAGGATCACACAGTGGCAGAGGTGGGACTCAAATCCAAGTCTCTTGACCCCAAGTCCAGTGTTCTTTCCAAGTTAGAGAATGTCAGGGTTGGAGGGTAGCCTAGGTCTAGGATTAAATTCACTGGGAGGGAAAGTACCTCCTTTGGTGCTACTAAGCACTGTGTGAGTACCTAAAATGTTCTCAGATTTGTTTTAGAATTGTTTCTTAACTCTCCTAAGGTGTATAAAGTATTTCTGAAAACATTTGGGGGAAACAAGTTTCCTTAATGCTAATCTGAAGAGAAAGCTACCCCCAATTCAGTAGCTCCCTTCCTTTCTCCCATTGTTGTAAATGAGCTTTAAAGTGCCATGAGGAGTCTGGCAGAGAGAAGAGTTGTGTCCTGCTTAAAGTCCATGATAACAGAATGACACATCTTGGAGAAGAATCTTGCTTGGTCACCTAATAAACCAGCCTCTGTATGGAGGATGTGGCCTCAGCTGCCTGCTCTCAAGTCATCCATGTGAATAGGACATCTCCCTGGCTGATATGATTATAAGACAATGAACTTCAGCTCACGGGGAGAGTAACCATAGCCTTTTGTTTTTGATGTTTCTGTTTCTTGACACCTATAAACATCTTTCTTACTCTTCTGTTCATAAATGACTACTTTTTTATTTGGCTTTTAACATTGCCTTCATTTTGCTTTATTTTTGAGGCTGAACAAACAGTATTGCTTCATGAATAGTACCTCTGTATCTAGAGCTACAGCTCTATCCTGACTTTTATGGTTGGATTTGTAAATATTTACACAGTGGAAGTTGGCTGTTGGGCCAGGTAGTGGGAAGCAGTTCAGTCTATTCTATTAATAATAGTTAATATTTATATATCACTTTAAGGTTTGCAAAATGCTTTACAAATATCTCATTTTCACAACAACTCTAAGATGTAGCTGCTATTATCTTCATTTTAAAGATGACACTGAGGCAGGTTAAGGGACTTATCCTTGGCCACAGCTGGTGTCAGAAGCTGGATTTGAACTCAGGTCTTCCTGGGTCTAGGTCCACCTCACTATTCACTGAGCCACCCGAAGATCTTGACTAATCTGATTCCATCCCCAGCTCCTTACGCCACTTATTTAAACACCTCAAAAGTTAACCCCCTCATGCTGAGTCAGGGACAAACATTTTAACAAATTCTAGGAAGTGCCCCATTCTCCCTAGTTCCTTGTGTCTTACTTAAGGCTATTGTGAGCAGAAATACCAAGCAAGCAACTTGTGAATTTGCTCATCTGGTTATTTCTTGTTATAGCAGGGCCCTGTGGGAATGACCACAGGACCTGTAAATTTAAGTTAAGTAATGGTAATTTTTTTTTTAAGGCTGGGATTTTGACAGCTACATTAAGGAACGAGGGAGGCAAGGGGACAGGATGACAATGAGACAGGAAGTGAAAGCTGGGTTGCTCCGAGGACGGGACATGAATGACTATAGGGGATTAACACAACCCCAGAGCCTCCAGCTGTGCTGGACTAGTTATTTGGAGGTTCTAATCCAGGCCCACTTTACAGTTGAGGAAACTAAGACGCAGAGAGTTTAGTGCCCACGGTCACCACGCAACAGGCAGGGCCTGGATTTCACCTCGGGTCCTGGGTGTAACCCAGTTTGAGAGTCGTTCTGTGGATAGAACACCTGAGGCCAACAGATAGAGGGCATGACTAATTTTCCTGACTTCCAGCCCCAAGCTCCGCCTTAGATTCCATACCGCGTGACGTTCACGACTAGAGTCCCGCCAGGGAATCTCACCTCCAGAGACTGACGCTCCGGGTACCAGAAGCACCCTCCCTCCCCCTTGCTGGGAGCGTGTGTATCTCTTGCGCAAGCGCCATCCCGATCTTAGCCGGCCTTCGCGCGCCCCGCCCCCTACGTTGGGGGGGGGCGTGCGCAGCAGGACCCCACCATTCTCTTCGCCCGGACGCAAGCGTGCGCGCGTGCGCGATGCCGTGACGCCACGGGCACGCCTCGCGCTCCTGCGCCGTGACGCAGCGGGCGGGTTTATATTGGCGGCGCCGAGCTTCCTTTGGCCTCTGCGGGAGAAGCATCAAACCCTCGCTGCACTATCTTGGTCTCCCGCCAGCCCGGTCCATCTCCTCCTCCTCCTCCTCCTCCCCCCTCCCCGTCCCGTCCCTGCCATGGCAGACTATCTCATCAGCGGCGGCACTTCTTACGTTCCAGACGATGGGCTCACGGCGCAGCAACTCTTCAACTGCGGAGATGGGCTCACGTACAAGTGAGGGAGGGGTTCGGCCGCGACTTCCTGGAGTGGCGGGGGGCGGCGGTGAGGCGGGAACGGGACAGGGCCCTGGAGTAGGAGGAGCGGGAGAGCCTCGTGATGGGGCTGGGACCCCAAGCTTCCAGCCGGGGGCCGAGAGGGTGGTCCTCTCAAGTTCATTAAGGGGTCCGAGAGGAGGCGGGTCCCCTTTGGGAAGTTTTGGGCGTGACCCTTGGTGGGTGTGTGTATGGGGGCGAGTATGAAGACTTCAGAGTCTGGAAACTGGACCCCCGCGGGGAGGGAGGCGGGGGCTGGGGGCAGTGTTCTCTCCTGTGCGGGGCTGGGAGGGAAGGAGCCAGTGGCTGGAATTTCAGGCCCAAAATATCCCTTCTCCCGGCACATGGAGCTGTCACTCGCCAGCCCTGGGCCAGCTCTGATGACCTCAGAGGAAAGGGACAGCAGAACAGTTTGGGTACTGGAGATGATAGGGAGAGGGTGGGGAATCCAACCCAGGTGATCGAGGACCACTTTGGGAGGGGAAGAGGGGAATTTATTCTCGTTCATCCCTGAGACCTGTCATTTAGGGAGAGGGGCCGGGCTTGCAATCTTCCCCTCACTTGTCCCTTTGGCTGATCCCTCTTTACAGTGACTTCCTCATCCTCCCGGGCTATATAGACTTCACAGCAGACCAAGTAGTAAGTAGGACCCCAAAACGCTATGTTGTGGGGGAGGGGGGATAGAGTAACTCACAATGGAACACATATGGAGAGGGCACTAACTTCTCTCAGTCTGGGCTGGTTCTCTCCATGTTGACCAGGCCTACTTCTGTCCTCAGGACCTAACTTCAGCACTTACCAAGAAGATAACCCTGAAGACCCCACTTGTTTCATCCCCAATGGACACAGTCACCGAGGCTGGGATGGCTATAGCTATGGCGGTAAGTCTTCTGAAGGCAAAGAAGTAGGGAAAGAGGTTTGGGTGCAGAGGATAAATTGACTTTTCTCTCTGTTTATCAACAGCTGACAGGAGGTATTGGCTTTATCCATCACAACTGCACCCCAGAATTCCAGGCCAATGAAGTTCGCAAAGTGAAGGTCAGTTTGGCAGGGCTCTTGATCAGAGGTGGTCCTGAAAATTTTCTTTCTTTTTTTTTTTTTCTTTTAAATGCATGGATACTGCACACATGCAAAGTCTGTCAGTACAGGAGAGAGATGCTGGGTACTGCACAGAGAGGGCTAATAAAGTTCACTGGCTGAGGTTCAGGGTGTTTTGTAACTTTGGTCACTGCAGCCATGCAGGGGGAAAAAAGACAGTTTGTGACTTGACACGTGGGCACGTAAGGAGATTTCCTGTTTTCAACATCTGGTCTTCTGTCTTTCTTCTAGAAATACGAGCAGGGCTTCATCACTGACCCTGTGGTCCTGAGCCCTAAAGATCGAGTCAGAGATGTGTTTGAAGCCAAGGCAAGGCATGGCTTCTGTGGAATCCCAATCACAGACAATGGCAAGATGGGCAGCCGCCTAGTAGGCATCATTTCCTCTCGTGACATCGACTTTTTCAAGGAAGAGGAACATGACCGTTTGCTGGGCGAGGTTTGCTTGGGCAGGAACTGGACTTTGTGTAGATTTCTGTGGCCTTATCCCCAGGGGCAGACTAGGCATGGTCACATTCCTATGTGGGAAGGGCAGCTAGTTTTTAAAGTCAGGTCTGGAAAAACTTGGGTTGAAGTCCTGATATTTGTTACTTTCTAGTTGTGCATCTCTGGGCAAGTCATCTTAACCTCTGTAAAATGGATAGAACAATTCCTACCAGGGAGATTTGTAATTTTTAAAGTACTCGAGAAATTGGATTTCTTTGTTACTTTGGGGAATCTCAGTATAGTGGGGATTATTGACTAGGATGTCCCTGAAAGATGAGAAAGGTCAAGAAACTCCTGTCTGCTGGGCGTCCAAGATCAATGTCTGTTTCATCAGATCATGACCAGGCGGGAGGATCTAGTGGTGGCTCCTGCAGGAGTCACGCTGAAGGAGGCCAATGAAATCTTGCAGCGGAGCAAGAAAGGTAAGGATGGGGTATATGGGTGATACGGGGCGGGGTGCGTGGTGAGACTCCAGTTGTCCCTCACCTGTGTCACTTCCACTGCTCCCCAGGGCAGCTACCCATTGTGAATGAGGATGATGAACTAGTAGCTATCATTGCCCGCACGGACCTGAAGAAGAATCGGGACTACCCCCTGGCATCCAAGGACACCAAGAAGCAGCTGTTGTGCGGGGCAGCCATCGGTACCCATGAGGACGACAAGTATCGGCTTGACTTGTTGGCCCAGGCCGGTGTTGATGTGGTCGTGCTGGTGAGCAGGGAAGCAGGTGGGAGGAAATGGAGCCAGCCATGTACTGGCTTGGCTGTTGCAGTTACCAGGGTTAACTATATCAGTTCTCCCTCCCCATCCTAGGACTCTTCCCAAGGAAACTCCATTTTCCAAATTAACATGATCAAGTACATCAAGGAGAAATACAACAACCTCCAGGTT